AAAAACGGGGCCGTGACATCTCTCAGGCTTCTCTCTGGTGCATGAAATGTCGAGAAAACCAGAATTATTAATTTCTCGTTATGTGAGCGAATAGGCCGAACAGACCAACTAGTAGAGGCCCTTCAGGGCCGGCGTCAAGCCCGTATCAGACCCCTTATTGGGATTAGATTGAAATTTGACCAATCACAGTAAAGTTTGCTAATCTCAAGTTTAGTGACTTTTACTCTTATTGGTCAAATGTCAATCTAATCTCAATCTCAATCCGTAGTCCGATACGGGCTTTAGGCGCGTGCAACCGGTGCGTCGCACGCGGCCCCGCGATTTCATCGGCTTCGCGGTTTGAACAGTCCTGCTTTCCCGCGCTAATCAAGTGGTCGAATTTGTTTTTTTTGTCTGCACCCGGCCCCGCTTAGCTTAGGCTGGGTCTACATAGGATGTAGTAAGTCGTGTCGGAAGAAATTGACCAATCACAGTTCATTATTCTGCGACCGTAACGAGAATAATGAACTGTGATTGGTCAATTTCTTCCGACACGACTTACGACATCCAATGTAGACCCAGCCTTAGAAGCGGCTCTGTGTATGTATGTACATACGCCCGTACCTGTGAGAGAGATTCACCCGAGTGGTAAATTGATTATTAAAAAAGGTATTACCGCTCGTGGATGTGTGGAAGCAAACTAATCATTTGTATATGTAATTCCTCGCATTTTCTCTCCCAATTGCGCGTGATATTCATCTCGACAAATCACCGTAGAAATCAACGATATGATTACGGATCACGGCAATTGCTTAAACGCGATTGATAAATGTTAATAACACTCGTACGAGACGATCGCGTTGCGTAGAAGATGATCGAGATTCTCGTAGGCAATCATCGCGTTACGAGGGGCGATGCGGAGACTCGCGGAATATCCGCCTCGTTCGACTGAGCCTCGATACAATAGATTGTTTTCGACCGAGGTGTTCACGGCGCTACGTCATTCCTTGGAATCGATGCTCGGTCTACAACGCTCGGCAGAACAAAGTCACGCCGTACGCAGGATCATTCGCGCGGCGACAGTCGGCTGAATCGTTTATGCCCGCGCCGTTCTGCATATCGTATTATTCTTTCTTGACACGCGTTCACGACAAGTACGGGAAGAAACCACGATCGCGTATTATTAGTCTAACGTACATACCTTTCGTTATTCGTTAAAATTGTTTTTGTTTTTCAAACCCGCGCGTCGCTCGGTGATTGTTTACGTCGAGCCGCCGCGCCGCCGGCGACCGCCGCGCGGTCAGAGGACGTTCGCGCTTCGCAGTATCGTTCGAGCCGCCGGAACGTACACCACGGGGTGATGTGCGCAATCATGTGCCGTGTAATTAAACGACGCCACAACCAACGTGATCGAACTGATCGATGCCGCGGGACGTCGTTTTCGTTCCTCGGAAGAGAGAAGCTTCGCTAATCGAGATGTACATCGCGTCGTTGACGTGATCCGCGTAGTAGCGCCGCGCAGTGGCCGCCGGGAACGGCGCTATGTCGGCTCCGCTCGAGGAGCGCCGTGGACACGCAGTGAATCGGTCTCGTGCGATGCTCGTCGCGTTTCGCGGTGCACGCGATCGCAGTGAGTTGTACCATTGTGCAGTTTAACAATCGCGCGACGTAGACTCGAGCCTCGCGCATTGGTGATCCACCGGGACGCGTAAATCTGGGAGATCCCGGCCGAGATCTCACGCGCGGTCGGCGTCGCTACGGCGCCGTCGTATCTTCGCGCGCCACGAGTAATCCTGGTTTTCCAAGTTTAATTCGCGTCTTCTCGCGCTTGCAGTAATATCAGAGTTTTCCCCACGCGTGATGCGCAGCGAGAGAAACGTTGGCGCGAAATCGCCCTGTCGCGACGCGACGCGCGTCAAGTTATGCGTGGTCTACAATGCGAGTCGCAGAGTCGTAGTCGTAAGAATAGTCGGCTGCGATTGGTCAATTTCGTCAGACACATAAAAATTGACCAATCATAGTCGACTATTCTTACGACTACGACTCTACGACTTCTGTGTAAACGAGGCATCTCCGCGAGTCCTTCCCGCCGGAACGTTCCCGCCCTTTCGCGCGATTTCCTCTCGTTGTCGTTGCAGTGACGTCCGCGAGTGCTGTGTCTCTTTCGCGAGTGTCGCGTTGTGCCAGTGCGAAATGGAGGAGCCTGGAGAGGAGGCGGCGGCCTAGGAGGTATCGGGCGCCGGCGGAGCAACTTTGCGGTAAATGTTTTATTTCGTATAAAATTCATCTTGCTCTTGTTTATTTTAGATAATTTACTAATTATTCGCTTTAATATTAAGCTTCTTGACTGTTTTAATGTAATAAATTTTATAATTATATGTTGCAGGATCAACGTAGTCAAACTCCGCTGCTGCGCATCGGGTCGGTAAGTCAAAAACTTTTTTCTTAATGCGAACGAATATACAGCTCGTAACATCGACGATACGATACGATCGACGATACGATCGACACTCGTGTATAATTCAAATCGTGCGTGATATCTGTCGGTGACGATAACGAACCGACTATGGAAGGAGTTTCCTTCCTTCTTGATCTCTGGCCAAAATGACCAGACTGTGGGGTAAGTGGTCACTATTGGCCACTCTGGTGTACAAAATAATTTGGTTTCTTTCATTTGTCAAAATTCGGGTGGGTTATTCCCTTTTATATATTCTCTCATATGTGCGAGATTGAAAAGATCCCTATTAAATCCCAATCGCGTATTATAATCCCAAATCGAACCCTTTGTAAATCGCGTCGCGGTTTTAATGAAAAAACTTTTAGGTCTATCAGGTTTGAAACATGATTAGGTAGGAAAATGGATAGGACTGTACATACATCGGAAGGTGCATAGGTAGGGATTCGGGTGGGCAGGGACAGGGGGACATAATTCTATAAGAAGATAAATAAAATTGTAACTGCAATATAATCTCAGATAGCACACATAGTTCTATGAATATTCTTTTGGAGTGCAAATGTCTTTAATTTCAGAATATTCGAATCGAATCTTCTAAAAATATATATAGATTATTACAATTAGAAATCGTATATTCAGAACAAAGAAGAAAGTTTTCAGAATATTCATCGAGTTTATGTCTTGCACATTGTTGACTGTGTAATACATTTATCTTATGCAAAAGGCAGTGAAACCTGTGATCACACCATAGGTTTATTTTCTATTCCTGTACTGGTGAACTAGTGTAGTGAGCTAGAATGAGAAAAATATATTTGTCTTACTCTAATTTATTGCACTAGTTCACCATTATAGCAGCAGAAAACAAGCCTCATATATAACCGACACGCTATATTCGATAGATTATTCTATTCACATTCGAGAAAGATTTGCGTGATTACGAGAATTCGAAGAGCTTTAATTAAATCTGAAGGTTCGCGATAATATAAATCTTGGCAAATCTAAACATTGGCAAAGAATACGTATATTTCATACTTTCTTACATTTATTACTAAAATATTAATCAATATTTACATCAATTTGTACAAGTGACCACATCGGCCATACGTATATATAATGACACGTTCAACTCAAATGTTTGCAGCGTGTATATGTGTGTACGTTCATATAAATAAAGTTAAAATTCGCGTTTTTCCTCCCTTTGTTGTCGTGTTTATATCGTTACACAACATCCGCTCGGCGACCCGAGCGGAATGCAAGTTCTAAAACGCAATAATGAACATGAAATGTTCAATAATGAATGTATAACGAACACTATAGTGCGCACTATCGGAAACCAGATACTGCGATCAATTCCACTGTCATTGATTCCATACAAATTTGTACAATTACAAATTTGTTACAAGAACAACGTCGAATGAGTCGTTGTAGTCAAATACGTAAATGCAGGCGTGAAGCAAACAAATAAGTATGAAAATTGCGAAGATACGCTTTAATATTCAGATATGAATAAACGGAAACGTTGACTAGTACACTATATAATATACAATGATTCTTATTAAACGTGTACAATGCAGGAATTAAATAAAGACCGATATTTATACAAGGCTCTTACAATTTGGCATCATTGTATCTTTTCTATTGCACAGTGTACTTGAATATATACAAATTAAAGGTATTATTTTGGTAAAGTTATTCAATATTTAGAACATAAATACAATTCCATAGAAAACAAACGATATTTTATGAAAATGTATCATTAATACTCAACATTTCACGTTATCTCGTCCTAAAGAAACAAAAATACAGAACTGAAATTTACTCAACTGTTACAAATGGCAAGTTTTTACACAATGATTTCTTCTATTGCGATTTAACGAGTGTTCTTCGTACTTTAACATTTGTCTGCGTCTCGATATTGACCATAGAATTATTTATTATTCGTATACTTCCTAATTGTAGAATGTAGGTTATCAGGTGTTATCACAATAACACCTGCCTTGATGTAGCAGGTAGCATTTCACACGATACTTTTCACGAAAACAAGAACTGACAAGTATCGTAATACGAAGTACCGTTACAGGATTGTCGTAGATCGTTGAGAATTTAAAAAAAAATCGAAATCGATTGTCTAAACAACGACATTTGGAACACGCGAGCATTCGTAATCACTCCTATACAAGTCTTGTTTGGATATGTATCACTATCAGCCGTATTATAGTTCCGTGGTGATTTCGTCCTGCGGTCGAAAGCCGAGGATCGTAAAGTCATCGATGAGATAGTCGCGAGCGGGCGACCAGTCTGACAGGATAGTGTAATTGGCCGCCTCTACGGGGCTGCTCTGAAACTTCCATTGGGGATTCAAGTCGCGGTCCAGGCCGTCGTTCACCTCGCATTCGTCATGTAACGCTCGGATGCTGTTGGTCTCCAAAGGCAGCGTGCCACCATTGTAACTGCGATTGAACGCAGAGATCGTCTGCAGTTCTTGAAGATGCGAGTCACTCGTTCTCAAGCCCCCTCGCTTCAGATTGCTACCATAGACGAGGGGTGTCGTTTGGCCGATCGTCGAGCCGTTCGGGCTGAGCTTCTCGATGTTGTAAACGCCGGAAGCGCTGTTCTGACCCAGGCTCGAGCCGAGGGGACTGCTGTCCTTGGTGTAGCCGAGGCTCGAACTCGCTGGACTGATGCTCGACTTGTCGCTCGCTTGAAACGTCGCGAGCGGCACGTTTGCTTGGAATGTGGTGAGATTAGTGGGGGTGCTTCTCGGTTCGTACACGGGTTGATGAGGTGGTGGTTGCGACGCCGCGATCGGCTGCGCCGGTGACGAGGTCATTTGGACGGGATTGCTCGTCGGCTGCTGCAGGAACGTCACGAGCTGAGCCACCTTGAAATTACAAGAGGGCGATAAGTATTACACGCCTCGGAAACGTTGTTTCATACGCGTTTTATGCAAAAAACTGTCTGCCGTTCAGAGGAAGAAGGAAGCTTTTACGCGGGGGAACTCTCTCGGCTAACGTTACGCTTCTTGCATACAGCTGGGTGTGTGACTCACCAAAGTGCTTTAGGGACTGGCGTGAAAAAGAATTAAAAGTGTGAGATAATATCGGTGGCGCGTTTTCGTTTCGCGCGGAAATATTCGCGAGAACAACGAACTCACTTCTGGAGAACTGTGCCTTTTGTATCTTCTCAGCAGCCGCTCTGCCCACGAGAATAATCGTTGCCAATCGTCGGGCGGGAGTGGTATCTCATCGTCTCTCCTGTTCACGAGGACCAATATCCTCGCCAGGTCACGTAGCACTGGTCTACAACAATATTAATAAAGATTAATAAGGATACACACATGTAATATGTCGTGTATACAACTTGAAAAGATATTGGGAAGTTTCATTAGAAAAGTGGTTTCTTTTTTGGGAAAAAGCTGTTACCGAGCCGCTTCTAGCAGATTTTTCCAGAATATCTTATTTAACCTGTGACAGATTAATTTCTGCCGCGACGGTTCAACGAAGTAACGTTAGAAACATTCGATGGCCCGATTTCTCCGCTGTGCTTATACCTGTAGGCCTGGATTCCGACGGCACCGTCTCCGTTACTTCCCGAATAGTACAACTCGCGGACCTGTCTCCTGGTGTCGTTGAGCATAGCGAGGAAAGTATTGGCCTCTCCACGGAGCGTCGCCAGGTGTTTGAGAAACTCCCTTCTCTCCGCGCTGAAATGCACGAATTCACAGTGAGTCGCCGCGTCGCGGGACGAGCAGCAGAGCGAAAAGAAATTATAGAGGGAGAAAATAAAAGGAAGAGAATACCTGTCCTCGAACTGCTGGGCCAACTTCGCCGCCTTCTTCTTACGCCGATGCACGACTATCGCGCCGCAGAGGATGATGAAGATACAGATGGTGGCGCCGGAGACCACCCCCACCAGAATCGCGACCTGGCTACCGGTGAGGCCGAACATGTAGCCGGTCTCCCGGCAGATGCGGCCCATGTACTCGTCCCGGGTGGACCAGTCGGCGACGAAGCCCGGTGGGCAGGTATGCACGCAGGTACCCTGATGTAGCAGCACGGCGCATCGGGCGCACGTTCCGTCCCTGCACCGCTTGCATCCCGTCTCGGACTCGATGCATTCTCCAGCTGCAATTGGCAAAACGCACAGTCCTTTACCAGTCGACTCGAAACGGAGGTTTCGGAGAGGATTGTTCCTTAAAAATAGTTTAGGGGGATACCAAACGAGACTATTGATCTACTGCGCGAAGACTATCGCACTTTCCGAAGCGCGGAGAGCTCGCGTCCCGTGCTCGACTTATCCCCAAACTTTTCGCCAAGTCCCCGTTGACGTTAACGATCGCTCAGCTCAGGCTGGAATCTTACGCTCTTTACGGTATAAACTTTGGAGTTTCAGCCGCTCTCGGCGACGGAAGTTCATACATCGGAGTTGACAGTGCCGCTCGACGCGGGTCTACCACCCGCGAGCGGAGTCTTCCCGGGAACGATATTCTTATTAGCGAAACTTTCGAGCGTACACTTGGCCTTTAGGAAAGGTCGGTGCATTCGGGAACTTTGACCGACGTGCCTGCCACTCTCGCGACGGGTCATTGCCAGGTGCAAAGAAAAAAAGAGAGTTTCATGTCACCGCCGCAGTCTAACATTTCCATTTGCGACCGTTCCATTTCGCTTGGTGCACAACGGCGCGAGATGCGGACGGATCGAAGTGTGAGCGGCGTAGCTATCCGTTCGTAGGCAAACGCGTGCCTTACACTGCCATTTCCTATCCCTTCTACGCGTGACCTTCTAGAACGCGCCTTCCGATGTTTCCACAAGTTGCAGCTGCCTCGCGAGTGTAAGGCAAATTAAATATACAGGGTGACCTAGACCTAGGGCGAGTCTCGCTTTTTACCCGTGGGTTTCCTTTGACTGAACTTGGAGCCGACCTTTCCTCGGCGCGGATTACCGTTCGTCACGGGCCTGCGGAAGATCTCGGCGGGCCTTTATTTTCCCCGATCTATCGTCGCGTTTAGAATGCACAGGGTGTCACGATTCGAACGATTACGGGAGTCGTGAATAATGCAACACGCGGCGGTTTGTAAACGCGGTCCAAGTCTCTCGGCAGACGGGACCGACGGGATTCTCCAAAAGTATCTAGGTAGTGCAGCTACGCGTTATGTGTGTCAGGCATTTGGGCCACCGCCTGGGGCTATGGATCACCGGCCGTGGCAGAAATTCGATATACGCGCATTACTTTTCTCGTATCCCCCGCCCCACTTAATCGCGCAATTGCGATAATACGATATTATATTAATATTCCCGTTTCTCTCTTTCCCCGTTGGAATTCTATTTCCGCTGGGTCCAGTTTTTCAGGCGATGCTATCTCCGAAGTATCGTTTGCGCTCTTCTCGCGGGAGATAAGCTTCGCAGCGTCCTCGATACTTTTAATACGCTTCTTAAACAACGTCTTCATCGCGGCAGATCGCGAGCCGTAATCTCGTAATCTCGCCGGCGTATCTTCGCTCCCTTTCTCTTCCCAGTTACGCTTCTTCGATATTAAATTAATACCTTCGTTCCCTTTTCTCGCTGGAATTCCGCTATTTTCACCTTATGTTTTTCGGACACTGCTATCTTCTAACAAGTAAACCTACCCAAGTAGGGACGCACCGATTTTGATGAAAGTTTGATGAAAGATTTTTTTAATGAAAATTGAACGGTTTCAACAGTACTTAAAAACTATGAGCAAACAAATTGAAACAAAATTTTTTTTCCCAAACACCACCACTCAACATTTTTTATTACAATTTTGAAAATGTTTTAGCACTAAATTAAAACTTATTTTATTGCGAATTCAACCGTAGATAATAAAGTGCAAAATTGTAATAAAAAATGTTAAGTGATAGGGGTATTTTGAAAAAGAAAAAATAAAATGTTTTGCTCATAGTTTTAAAGTACTATTGAAACCATTCAACTTTCATTTTAAAAAATGTTCTAGCTCTTACACTTTCGTCAATATTCGCCCCGAAAGAGAGAATCAAATTTTCTTCAAAGGAGTATTTCACCACCTAAAAGTGCGCACGAGCACGTATAAAGAAATACGTGTCCCTTATTTTGAGCTAAAAAACAACATATTCAACACTCATCAAAAACAGTGTGTCCCCACTTGGGTAGATCCACTTGTAAGTGTCGTCTATTCTATTGGCCAGTATTCTGAGTCCCTTTTTATCGATAAAAGCGCCTCTAAAAGTGGCTTGTAGCCAATCAGGAGACTTATTAGCCACTTTCAGAGGCCCTTTCATCGATAACAGAGGGTTCAGAATGCGGGCCTAAAAGTCAATCGGCGGATTATCACTGAAAACAGAGAATATTCAGTGATTTATAGTTATAATACACTGACTGACTTCTACAGAGTACATTCTTCCAAGGAGAGATACGCCCTCGATATCAAACAACATCTTTTTAACATCTCCATCGCGGCGTATCGCGAGACGCTCATTCGTAATCTCGCTACCTTCTCCTCCTCGGCCGTATGCATCGCTCGCTACCTTTCTCTTCCTAGTTACACTTCTTTGATATTAAATTAATACCTTCGTTCCTCCTTTTTTCCTCGCTGGAATTTCGCTATTTTCACCGGTTATCGTTTCTCGGCCACTGTTATCTTCCAACTGTCGTTCCCGTTCCTCCGAACCAAGATACGCTTAAGCCTATCACACAATGCCAGGCAACAGGCAATAGGAATAGAGAATAGAATTTTTGACGCGTTGGATTCGTCAGAAATTTTCTACCAACCAATCCAACGCGTCAAAAATTCTATTCCCTGTTCCTGTTGCCTGTTGCCTGGCATTGTGTGATAGGCTTTAGGGCCCCTCGATACTTTTAAATGACATCTTTTTAACATCTCCATCGCGGCGTATCGCGAGACGCTCATCCGTAATCTCGCTGACGTATCTTCTCCTCCCCGGCCGTATGCATCTCTCGTTCCCTTTCTCTTCCTAGTTGCGTCCCTTCCTCCGGTGACCACGTATACATCACGCGGGGTCACGCAAGAGAGCCGGATGGACGGCGAGCGAGAAAATTGAAAGACCTCGCGCGCACACGCGCGCGCGAGGGGGGGGGGGGCCGTGGTGAGGCGGTCCATTAGTACGTGTATGAGGAATGCGGTTGCTGGTTTCTCGATTATGTGGGTCTATAAACGCGCGCGGCCCGCTCCGCTGTGCACCTCGAAACGGCACACGACCGGGCCGGTCGCGCACGTTCACCAAGTTGAGAACACTAGGTCGGGGTCCCCTTCTCCGACGTGGCGTGTGCTCTATGAAAAAAAAAAAAAAAATCCCCCACGGGGTCGCCTATTTATTTTACCGTCGACGTCCTACGATTCTCCGTCGTCGACACGACGACGGGGAACACTCCTGGACACTCGGGACGCGCGATTCCCTCCGGGCATCGACTTTCTATACGCGCTTCTCTCGCGCCGATGACAGATGGTCCGTCCTCCCCGGAAAATGTGCCGGACGGACGATTTGTCGAGGAGGAGAGCACCGCCATTCAGAGGACCCGTACGATCGTATCGCGGGAAGAAATTACGCCCCGTTATTGAACGGCTATCATTCGCGTTCACGACGATCGATTTCTATCTCGCGCTATCTCGATGGAAAGTACCGGCGATAATTTAATATTATTTAATGGAAAGTCACGCGTGACGCGTGGTCTTGAAAGTCCGCCGGTAAATGGTTCGGTGCGAGGGAAAAGCGGATATTTACGTTTACCTAAACGAATAAATAAACACGGCGAGATTGTCTCGACAGCGAGATTTCTATCGCTAGGAGATTCGCGTTCGTTTAGAGATCGCTTCGATCCCAGATTTGCGATTAATCGCACCGCATTCCCGTGCGACTTTTCAAATCGGTCTCCATCGACAGGCGACTTTCCGTGATGTCCATCTGCGCGTCGGGGAGCCGTTAGTGGGTTTACGAGTTGAGTTTTAATTAGATAATTAAAGGTCGAGGAGAGAAGTCGTCGTCGCTTCGAGGCGGCCTGCGCGGTCGAATCGGCGCAATTTTCCATCCTCTCGCGGACGAGTACGCCACATACAGACGTCTATACAGAGGAAAGTCTTCTATCACGAGATAGGATTCTAATACGAGATAGTACCATAGGTTTTCAGCGTCCGAATTCAATTTCTTTTTTCGCAACGATCACACGATCCAACAATCAATTCTCCACTAACTCCAAGGGCAATACATTCATGATGGAACCAACAGATGGTGCCTATTAATTTAGCAGAAACTCCGCTGACTCATATTAGGAGCCTATCTCATAATAGGGGACTTTCCTCTACTACCAGGCTGCTGCCTTCGAGCTGAGAAGTGAGGCAAGAGTTCCGCCATGTCTCGTTAGGTAAGTAAAGTAGTATGTGTGCGTCGGTCTGTCGGTGACATACTGCTTTATTCATCTAACGAGACATGGCGGAACTCTTGCCTCACTTTTCAGCTCGAAGGTAGCAGTCTGGTAGTATATAAACGTCTGTGGTCCGCCACGTCCTTTTTTTCTCTCTCTCTCCACCCGGGAAAGCCGCGGGAAGAGAAAAGAAGAAACGTCTCGCTCGTCAGCGGACTGTGGTACCGAGAATTGTATTCCGCGCGGGACTTGTTAACTTGGCGAGACGCAGCGCGAACAACCGTTTATGAAGCAGCTCGGACGTTGGAGCGGCTACATACGTATAACGTACTCGTTTTCGTTATTAATTAGTGTAGTTAACTAGACCGTCCATTGTCTACCGCTGACGTTTCTACTTAATAACTCGTACGTCTGGGGTAATCTTTGACGTTGCGTCGCGTCGGAGCGCACGTGGCTATGTGTGCCGACTTTCTGCCAGTAATAATTCATCCCCTTTCCCAATGTACGCGCAGCTGAGATATTTTCTCGAAATGCACCAGTTTCGTGAGAAACGCGATCGGTTTCGTGCGCGAATCTTCCTCGTGCAATACACACAGAAAAAAGGAACATTCTCCTTTTGAAAATGTGTCTAATTTCAATGTGAAAAATCTTGAAATGGGATTATATTGCGTTAAAGGAAGAAAAACTTACTCGAATAAAGCGATTTTGTATAATTCACTCGAGAAAAATAAGAATAATTTTCTTGAATGGCA